GCCGGAGGCTAAAAAACTGTGAGCTGGCTCTCACTAACTCAGCTTAGAGGGAACACTGGTCGTGATTCCGGGAGATCCCCAGCTAACACCTGGAGCATGGCAACCCAAGGGGCTGAACACCTTTAAACAAGTATTTGTCAAGTTCTATCTACCCTCCTGTGCTCTTGAATCTGGCCCGTGCCCTGTTCCCCCATCGCTGCTCCTTCCCCCTGCCGACAATTTTTGACCCGGAATTTGCAAGTTTTCGGTAGCCGCCAGGCGAAACGAAATCACTCTCAGCTTTTCCCAACAGGGCCAAGGGCACCTGCCGTCTCTGCATTCAGAGGCAGTGGCCGTTCTCACGTCCGCCGCTGGCGGGGGGGGGGCACTTGAAAGGCGCTAGCTGGGAGGAGGTCGCAGGTCACCGCTTTCCCAAGGAGGCCCCCTGCTCTGTCCTCTGTGTTCCCGAATCTTCTCTCGCCTGAGTGCAGCTGGCTGATATCCGTGGTCTCCGGAGGAAGAAAAGAAATCCTCCGAAAGCACGAATCTCGTTTTGAAAGTTTCGAAGAGCAATCTGGCCGGCTCGCCCGCCATCCGTCAAATCAGATTTACCAAAGCCGACAAGAGCCGCGGGAGAAGGTGGCTTTCTTTTTTTGGAGGGCCCCCCCCCCCCCACCGCCGCCCCCGGATTGTAAAAGGAACCGTCACTAAAGGCGCTTTAGTGTCGAGCCGAAGTAGGGATTAGGGGGCAACAATAAATCTTTAGAGCGCCACAGCTAATAAAGAGCCGGAGTTTTGAAAAGGGTGTACATGCATTCTAAAGACCCGGCACTGCAAATAAACGCCATGGCTTGGCTCGCCTGTGCGGGAATAGAAAGAAAACTGATCCTCGAGCGGTTCTTGCGGAGTTCTCTGAAATGCCTCTGAAAGAATTCTGCAGTGGCAGAAATCTTGCTTACCTAGAAGACCCACATAATGTCCTTAGTCACTTCAGCGGAGCGGCACTGGCACATCATGTTTCACTGACATGTTTGTGAACTTCTAGGTGACACCTGGAGATCACCCGCTATTACAAATGAGCTCCTGAAGACCAAGATCTGTTCCCCTGGAGAAAATAAGTCTGACATTAGGAACCACGACATTCAAAAACCAGTGGGGGGACATTTTAACCTTCCAGGGTGTTCAGTTGCTGACCTAAAGGTAGCAGTTCTCTTACAAAGGAATTTCGAGGGGAGATTAGAAAAGAGAGACTGCTGAATTGCAGCCGATAATGAAGCTCAAGACAACGCATCCACCTGGACTGAATGGAGACCTAGGTTTCCTGTCTCGTTACAAATGCTGATTTCTCCATGCCTACTACCTCTCTGCATATCGCACCCAATCCAATCACACCTGCTATTATCATTTGCCTGAAATGTCATTCGGCATCTGAAATCACTCCCCTTTCCAATACGCAGGACAGATGGACTCCCATTCTAGCTGTATCTGAAGACGTGAGCAGTGATTCACGAAAGAGCCTACCCTGCATATTTTGTTAAGTCTTTAAGGTGCTACTGGACTCCATCTCTTTTCGCTGCTTTGGAGAGGTAGGCTCTGTGGCACTGTGCCCTGCTGAGGCCCCTCCCCCTCCCCAAGCTCCGCCCCCAAAATCTCCAGTTATTTCCCAATCCGGAGTTGGCAACCCTGTTCACCAGGGAATGTGAGTCTGGCCCCATGGAGCCCACAGAATTTCTCAAGCTTCCTCTAGGCCAAGAGGTCACGCAAGCCAAACCATCCCCTGCAGTCCCTTCCTCCACTGCTGCCAACAAGATTCTATTGTAATCTCATAATAGAGGACGAAGAAATGGGCCTCTGCCCCAAGGAGATTACAGTCTAATCATAATATTATAATTAGGCTGTAATCTCCCTGGGGCAGAGGCCCATTTCTTCGTCCTCTATAAAGAAGAAAAAGATTGGATTTATACCCCGCCCTTCACTACCCAAAGGTGTCTCAGAGAGGCTTACAAACTCCTTTCCCTTCCCCTCCCCACAACAGACACCCTGTGAGGTAGGTGGGGCTGAGAGAGCTCTGACAGAGACTGCTCTTTTTTTCAAGAACAGCTCTTATCAGAACTACGGCTTGCCCAAGGTCATCCAGCCAGGTGCAAGTGGAGGAGTGGGGGAATCAAACCCGTCTCTCCCAGATTAGAGTCCGCGCACTTAACCACGACACCAAACTGGCTCTCATACACTCATAAAGCTCTCATAAAGCCCCCATACACATCAATGGTAAAGGAATAAGAACAGAGTATAGTTTGGAAGGGCCTGCAGGACCAAAGGGAACGCAAGAAGCTCTTTTTTTAGTGTGACCGAAGCAACAGTCCGTTGTTAATACGAGGTTTTATTCTGTAATACATACATCTGGATTAGGAATTTATGTGTATGCAAAAATGGCATCGATCAAAGAAGAAGAGGAGACTGGATTTATCCCCCGCCCTTCACTACCCAAAGGAGTCTCAGAGCGGCTGACAAACTCCTTTCCCTCCCCCTCCCCACAACAGACACCCTGGGAGGTCGGTGGGGCTGAGAGAGCTCTGACAGAAACTGCTCTTTTTCAAGAACAGCTCTGACAGAACTATGGCTTGCCCAAGGTCATCCAGCCAGGTGCAAGTGGAGGAGTGGGGAATCAAACCCGGTTCCCCCACATTAGAGTCCACACACTTAACCACTACACCAAACTGGCTCTGCAGGGGGTTGTTTTTTCCCAGATTGGTTGTCTTCATAACCTGCTAGTGGGCCAGCAAAGCAAGGCCCCCAGCTTCTGTACCTTTGATGTCAAATAAAAGGAAGTGCCAAAGGGAGGGGCCGTGGCTCAGTGGCAGAGCCTCTGCTTGGCATGCAGAAGGTCCCAGGTTCAGTCCCCGGCATCTCCAGTTCAAAGGACCAAGCAGGAGGTGATGGGGAAGGCCTCAGCCTGAGACCCTGAAGAACCATGAAGTAGGGCTGTAGCTCACTGACAGAGCCTCTGCTTGGCATGCAGAAGGTCCCAGGTTCAATCCCCGGCATCTCCAGTTAAAAGGGCCAGGCGGTAGGTGATGTGAAAGACCTCTGCCTGAGACCCTGGAGAGCAGCAAAGAGGGACCAGGCAGGAGGTGATGGGAAAGACCTTGATCTGAGACCCTGGCTCAGTGGAAGAGCATCTGCTTGGCATGAGGAAGGTCCCAGGTTCAATCCCCGGCATCTCCAGTTAAAAGGGCCAGGCGGTAGGTGATGTGAAAGACCTCTGCCTGAGACCCTGGAGAGCTGCAAAGAGGGACCAGGCAGGAGGTGATGGGAAAGACCTTGATC